AAAAACAATGTCTCGTTGTGGCGCGGAAGCAGATTTCTGTAAAGAGTCTATTCTGAAATTCTTTGACTTTTCTATCATAATATTAGAGAACTATTCGATAATAATACTTTAGTTAGGTGTGAGCTGAAAGAGCTAATATTTTTTTACGTCTATTCATAAAAAAAGAACTTGTTCAAAAACCTAATCCTTATAAAGAATCAAAGCTAAATCGAAGATGGTCATGTCCTATTTTTCGCTGATTGTGTCCATATCAAAACATTTCAATTGAAGATAATCGTTTATAAAATTTCATAGTTTGAAAAAGCTTAGTAGGCTACAAGAAAAGATAAATCTAACTACTATTCATTCAAAAATACAGTGAACTTGATTGTAAGTTGAATTAGTCAAGAAAGAAAGTAGTTAGAGAGCTGCTATTTTCATTTCATAAAGAAAAAAAATAATTGTATTAAATTATTTAAAATTCACTTAACTATTAAATATTGGGACGATCACTAAGTGATCAACAATTGTTTCAAACAATAGCATTTGACAAAATTTCTATTGCTTTTTCATTTCTAATTCATTGAGATCGCACATTAGACAGTTCTCTTCGATTCAGAGCACTTTTCAAAGTTTTCTTCCTTTATGTCAAGGTACTAGAATTAAAATACGTGCACCTACCTATGCAGCCTAAACGATTACTGATCGATTTAGAATCATTTCAAACAAACGTAATCGATCATGTTGAATATTGTGACAATATTTGTTTTTCTCGGGTTTTATACTTGAGTTTGTAAAACTCGTTTGTAAAAAAGTCTATTTCAGTGATATAACAATAGTAGAATGAGACTTTTATAGGAAACCCATTTCTATATGGTTGGAATTCAAATTTTTAGAATATTCTCAATGTTATTACGATGTGAAAAATCTACTGGCATCCTTCCAATCCTTTGGATATATCAAGGTTCTCTGGAAATAATACGATAGTTCTTTCGAATCTAAGTGCTTGTCTCATTTATGAATCAAGTTTGGTATAACGTTTTGTGCGTATCCTAAACTGAAATCGACTTTTTCACAAACAAGTCCTACAAACTCAAGAGAATAAAGCCGGAGAAAAACAAATATTGTCACAATACTCAGTATGCTCGATTACGTTTGTTTGAAATGATTCTAAATCGATCAGTAATCGTTTAGACTGCATACGTAGGTGCACGTATTTTTACTCTAATATCTTGACACAAAGGAAGCAAACTTTGAAAAGTGATCTGAATCAAAGAGAACTATCTAATGTGTGATCTCAATGAACCAGAAATGAAAAAGCAATAGAAATTTGTCAAATGCTATTGTTCGAAACAACTGTTGATCACTTAGCGACTGTCCCAATATTTAATAGTCAAGTAAATTTTAAATGATTGAATACAATTATTTGTTTTCTTTATGAACTAAAAATAATAGTTTGAGATCTGCATATATGAACATATCGTAATGCTTATATTGAATATCAAATGTCATCAAAGTATTTCAATTTTATTTCGTCAACATCAAGTTATAGATGATCTTAAGAAAGTTACATTCAGAAAGTGTTTCAAATCATCGATTCAAACGCTTTAGTATCATGTTACGACATAGATTAATCTCTCAAAATTTGCTTTTCTGATTTTCTGAAGACAGCTAATACGTACTTGATTAGTACGAATGAAAAGTATACATATTACAATTCTAAGTAAGTCTAGTTTTCTATTTGGATAAAAAGAAAAGACTATTACATATCCATAGTTTTGATCAAGAAGTTAGTCTGATATAGAGTTCTAACGCTTAATCACTTGTATTTTCTGTACACGTTCACATACCACGCTCTATTCATAAATGACAACCTTGTAAATATATTAAGCTCGTAACTGACGTCAGTATTTCTCTTATAATGGTGTAGTTCGAAAGTTTTCACTAGGGGTATGAGGAAAACCGTTCATTTGGAAGATTCATCCCTCTGTAGCCCGCTGATGGTTACGTCACTGATCTCTCACGATACTCCAATGACATAGATCATCCTACAAACCATAGATACATTATTTCAAATATATTCTGGAACTTTCATTTGTATTATGCTCCCGTTCATTTTCTTTCTTTCTATAGTTAGACTCATTACTTCTATACTGTTTGCTTGAGTCTTTGATGAATGATGATATCTAGTAGTATCGATTTCTATTGTAGTGTCCTTATTATCTTCATTCGATTTCTCTCTCTTCTAGTGCATTCTGGGTCTGCCCATCGTCTGTATATATATATATGTGTGTAAATATATGCATTACCTCAAAGTTTCCAAAAACCTTTATGCCTTCCAACAGTAATCCCGTCCTCAAGGGCTCGTCTTTTATTCAAGAATGACAAATACTATGATGATTTTAGGAAAAGTATTTAGTTTCTAAGATAGTTCTTGACAATGGCAATCGAAAAGTTCTTCTTAGATTTAATGTTTATCAAACATGTTATAAAATCTTTATTGCTATTTTTTGTTTTTTATAGTATTTAACAGCATTAGCTATTGCTGGTGGAGTATACTATCGAGGTATTGAAGGTGCTTTGATTGGACCTATTATCTTATGTTGTTTATTAGTTGGTATTCGAATGTATAATGAAACAATATCAACAAGTTTATCATCAAATTCCCACCAATTACCATTCTCATTGATAAAAATGAAACAAAACTTCAATCGTTCACCTAGTTTACAATCTCTATTGACAAGAAATGATAATGACTAACACAGTGAATCTCATATTGTGTTTAAAAAAAACATGATTTATATTTTTTAGTTATTTTTTTTTTCTTTGTCATTCTCAAACTAAAGATATGATATTTTGAATTAAAAAAAGTTATTAAATACTTAAAAGAAAAAGAAGCTTCCGTTTTCAGATGACATCAGATCCGTTGCTCAATCCAAATCCATATTATCGAGTTAATAGATGGTCACGACTGTTTCATAGTTGGATATCACTATTACTTAAAAAACGTCATAAACAAGGTACACTGCATTTAAATGATCTCTATGATCTTTTCCCTCAACTTGAATCAACAAAATTAACTGATGATCTTGAAAAGAATTGGCTCAATGAAGTGAAACAAACAAACCGTAAACCAAATCTTGTTCGCGCAACATTAAAAACTATGGGATGGGGACCATTTCTTACCGGTTTACTCCTCATTCCAATAGTAATATAAAACATTTGATTAGAAAAGTAACGGTATCGTTCTTGTGGATGTTTCTTTTAGGAATTGGCTAAAATTTCTCAACCCGTATTATTAACATTTCTTATGGGATTTTTCGACATATGTCCCACAATATCTTCATCGTATGCATGGTTATTAGTTGCTGCAACTAGTCTTGCTGCTTTAACAAGTAGTCTTATTTATCATCATGTAATAATAATAGTCTTTAATTTTAAACGTTTTCATTTATATGCTAAGTATTTTCTTTTTCCTTAAACGCTAAGTAAAAAAAAAAATTTCCAAAGCAATATATTTCAGTTCGAATTGAGAAAAAGTTATTTTTCAAAGTAAGACTTTACCTGTACCTTAATAGAAAAATAACGCAGATATAGAAGTAGAAAATTAAATTACACAATTATTGTATTAATAAAGCTTTTGTTGTGTTCTATGATCGTCTTTTTTTCTCATCATCATAAAAAGTTTTCAACTTTTATCAAGTCAATTTCATGTTACTGTGTATCTATAATATTAACTACTAGAAGAAACATGAACGAGAGAAAAATACTTGAACTACTATCCATTTCAACATATAATGTACTCCATGGTCTTTTTAAAGAACTTTTGATAGAAACATCATAGAGATCTGCGGCTCTCACCATTCAAGAGAGAAGACTCAGGGCCATCGAAGTATTTCGAAATTTGGTTGGACAGCAGTCGACCAATCAGGTGGTTTCTGGATGGAGATGTTCAAATACAATATTCTGAAGGCATTTTCCTTTGAAGTTAAGCTTCTAATAGAACTTGTCGATAGAAAAAATTCTTCTCTTTCAATCTACACAGGGCCGACATGTCTAGCTTGTTCCATTCGAAAGTTATAAAGCTTTTCCTGAGACCTCCGAGTTCAGCTCATTGACCTGTGATCATCCCGAAAAACAGCTAGACCGAGATAATTCACCATGCTGAGTCGAATGGTGATATTTATTTTTAGGTTTGGACTGATCTTACACTATTATCGGAGTATATCCAAAATGTCGACTCCTTCATTACATGGAGGTTGATTGTGGAATTTCCTACATGATATGCATAGTCCCGACTCAAAAGCAATTAATCAGTTAGATAAATTCTCTCATAAGCTGAATAAAATCATAAAATTTCTTTTTGTTCTGATTTGATACATTCTGTTTTTCTATGTAACTCGACGGGATAATCCAAATATCTTAGTCCCATGCACATCATAATGCATCTTCTATTTTAAATTTGTTAGTTTGGTGTTGAGACTTTAAATTCGAATTGAATACGTTTAATGTTCTTGAATTACAAAACATACCCTTTCATTATTAGTCGTTTAATATGCTATCTAAATATTAATTCTCAAACTTAGCAAAAACTTTACTGAAGGTAAAATCAACTTAGCATTTAAATAATTTTGCTTAGCAAAGAAAAAAAACACTACTAGCCGATTTTAAATAAATAATTAAATTTATTTTCTAGTATTTTTATCGAATAACTATGTATGGTTTACAAATGCGTGTAGCATATACTGGTTTAATATTTCGTAAAGTAAATCTTATAGAATATTCAATGAATACAGATATGAAAATAATTGTTTTTTTTTCAAGATTCTTCGATTATCTAGTCATTCGGTTAATAGTGTTAGTTCCGGTGAAATAACAAATTTAGTATCAAATGATGCAAGTCAAATTGAACTTGCTCTTTATTTTGTTCACTATTTATGGGTATTTAATAAAATTGTTTTTATAATAAGAAAATGACTTTTATTATTATTCAGGTTGCTCCATTAGAAATAATATTAGTTATTATTTTCTTTTGGAAATATGTTAAATATATTGCTTTTATTGCTGTTGGATATACATTATTACTTTTAATTATTCAAGCATCATTTGGTCGTTTATTTGTTTATCTTCGGTTTGTAATTTTTTTTGTTTTTTTCTTCGTCTTAGTTTTAAACGACATATCATTTTCATTTCGAATTCTAAGAACAAGAATTTTACATGTAACTGATGAACGTGTTAAAATTATGTCGGAAATAATTAAATCAATGCGTATTGTAAAAATGTATTGTTGGGAAACAGCATTTTATAATAAAATATGTTCAATAAGAAAGTTAGTATAAAAGATTAAACAAAGAAAAACAAAAATCTTTTGTTTATTACTTATTATTTGATATAGACGTGAAATCATACAATGTGCTTTTCGTTTATTACTTGATTGTGGTCAAACATTATTATCTCATACTTATACAAGTGTTACGTTTTTACTGATGTATGGAACAATGTGGTCATTAGACATTCAATTTGATACACGATTTTTTGCACTTGCTGCTTGTATGCTTGGATATATGCGTTTATCGACTATTGATTTTTTTACTTTTGCTGTTCGTTATCTTGTTCATTATTTGGCTGCTAAAAAACGTATCCAAGTTAGTATCAATATTTACTCATATGAAAAACATAGTCTATTATATTGATAGATGTTTCTCCTTCTTGATGAAAGTGAACGAGATAGTCGATTATTATCAACATCTATGATAGATCTTGTATCAAATGGATATTCTACAGAACAAGATCTTCATAAGGAAAAAATAATAATTGATAAATCAATGAAAACATCTCCTAGTGTTATATGTAATTTGAAACAAGCACGATGGGATCAGGTATACTATCTAAATTAGACATGTATCGGATTCAAACGTTCGAGTTCAATTTTGATTGCGATCATTTTCAGTCAATTAATAGAACGAAGTAGAAATAAGCCACAAGAAAGGATTTCAGACTTGACTATGATAGATCTAGACACAGTGAAATAAATCATTCAAAAACCGAAGGTCTTCAAGCATACTAAAAAAACATCAACAATGTTCAGAAATACTTGAATTGTGATATATACCTACTCTTGTGGCTGGTTAGTGTGTTTGGAGAGCTCAAGTGATTAAGCGCAAGAACTCTGCGTTGGACTAGCCTTCTGTCTAGAGCTACAGCTAGAATTTGCTGTAATAAAGATATCAGGCTATTGAATCTACCATTAGGCAATCCCTCCATACAGCAAGGCAGCTAAGAAACGCTTGAACAATTATCCAGATGTCCGGCACTAACTGAACTAATTGGATAATTTCTGTAGTCGAGTCCGAGTTTGAATGCGATTCGTTCGTCTCGAACATTCAGTCCAAGTTCGGGTTCAATATAAACGATATCAGAAAAATATAACTTTCTCTATTTAGACTAGAACATTTTCATTAAAAAATATTGTCTTTGATGCACATCCAGGTGATCTCATTTGTATTATTGGTCCAGTTGGAGCTGGCAAAGTTTGTTCATCTATGTTTTTTTAATAAGATCTTTCCTATTAGAAATATTTTTAGAGTTCTCTCTTACAAACATTAACAGGTGAAATAGCTCAATTTGATGGTAAAGTTCGATTACATGGATCATTTTGTTATGTTCCACAAGAACCATGTTAGTAGTTTCATGTAAATAATTCTTCAATGAATATTTATTGGTTTTTTTTAGGGATATTTTCATCATCAATCAAAAATAATATTCTTTTTGGTAAAGAATATGATCAAAAATTGTTTCAACGTGTTATCAATGTTACTGCACTTGACACAGTAGATTAATTGAAAATATTTTCTACGAACACTTGTCTATCATTCTTTATTACATAGGATTTAATTCAATCATCTCATGGTGCAAATACTCTTGTTGGTGATCAAGGTATCATGTTGTCTGGTGTAAGACGAACAAAAATATAATAATTTCATCTAAATACAATCTAATCATCTATTAAATATAGGGTCAAAAAGCAAGAGTAAATATGGCAAGATCATTGTATCGTGATGCTGATATCTATTTATTAGATGATCCACTTTCTGCTGTCGATGCTAAAGTGTCAAAACATCTTTTTGATAAGTAAGTAAATAGACAATAATATGTAGAATGAAGCAAAAAAAAACAATAACAACAATGATTACTATTTTAGATCGATTAAAAGTTATCTTCATGATAAGATTTGTATTCTCGTCACTCATCAAATTCAATTCTTACAAGATGCAACTAAAATTATTGTTCTCAATAATGTATACTTTGTGTTTTTTTTTTCTTAAATTGAAATTCTATATATTTTATAGGGTGAAATGGTACAAAATGGTACATATGAACAATTACTTTCATCTTCACCATCATTTGCTCGTCTACTAGAGGATATTAATCAACATAAACAAGAATATGAGGAACAACCAAATACTTTGTTAAGAAAACGTTCAAAGATTGGTTCGATCAATTCACTACAAGAGGATGAAGAAGATCTAAAATCATTACCAACAAATAACGAAATAAAACAAGAAGGAATAGTGAGATGGAGTGTTTATTTATCATATCTTCGAGCTGGAATTAGTGGAGTTTTAGGCGTCTTATTATTGTTAACTGTATTCTCTGTACAACAAGCAATATCTCTATCTAGTAATTGGTGGTTAGCAGGATGGAGTAATGATGAAGGTCATCGACATCGTCTTTATAATAATTGTACAAATATAAATGATCAAAAAATTAATCGAATACGTTTGATGAGTGACAACGAATGGAATGAACATCGAAATCGACGATTTTATATCTTTTGTGGTTAGTTAATATATGATAGATTTTGTGAAACATGATTTGAAAAGAGTGTTGAAATATAGGAGTAAAAATTTGGAGCCTCCATACAATCTTTCAGTGATTAGCAACAGTAGCTACATCATGTTTCACATTTTAATTCCACAGGGATTGTGCGAAAAGGGTTTTTTTTTGTCATGTAGCTAATATTTTTCTATAGGTACTGTGGCTATACTCATTATAGTTACATTTTTACGAGTAGTCACTACAGAATTTATATGTTTAAATGCTGGACGAATATTACATAACAGGTAATAGTAATGATTTTTATAGATTGAATTCTTATTTGAATATTTATTTTTTCTTCACGATCAGGATGTTTCAACGACTTATTCGATGTCCAATACATTTTTTTGATATGAATCCAATTGGTATGTTAAATCTCTGTTCAAAAAAAATTTTTTTTTTATATCTATTTACACTTTTCTAATAATTAGGTCGCATTCTTAATCGTTTTACAAAAGATGTTGCTATTATGGATGATAATCTTCCATTGAATATGTTTGATTTTCTTCATGTAAGAATAGAATAAATAATCTTTTAGCTGTATTCATAAATTTTTTCTTGATAGTGTCTATTTCAAGTTCTTGGTATAGTAACTTTAGTTGGAATACTCAATCCATTGGCATTTATACCAGCTGTAGTGGCTGTCATTGCTATGTTACTTTTAAGATATCGATTTGCCTCATGTTTACGAGATCTTAAACGACTTGAAGGTGTTACAAGAAGTCCTGTTTATTCACAATTAACATCAACTATTCATGGTCTTAAAGTTATACGATCTTATCATGCTGAAAATATTTGCTCTCGCGAATTTCTTCATCATCTTAATGATAATACACGTGTTAATTATTTGTCAATTACAACAAATCGATGGGCTGCCATTCGTTTTGACTGGATTGCCCTAAGTTTCATCGTTCTTGTTACATTACTAGCCATGATTGTACGTCTTACACAACAACAATTTTCAGCTGCAGATATTGCTCTTACACTTTCATACAGTCTTAATCTTATGGGTCTTCTACAGTGGACAATTAGGTTGATTTAAAAAATATATATTTAACTATAAAATACTCATTATATATGTATTTTAGACAATCAGTTGAAGTTGAAACACAAATGACATCAGTCGAACGAATACTAGAATATTGTGCACTTGAACAAGAACCATCTGCACAAGTACCACCAAAATATCGTCCACCTACAAATTGGCCATCACATGGTGAAATTACTTTCAATGATGTTTGTATGTCTCATTCGAATGATTCAGATGCACCTCTTGCTTTAAATCATATATCATTAACTATACGAGCTGCTGAAAAAATTGGTATTGTTGGAAGAACAGGTGCTGGAAAAAGTTCATTTATTCAAACAATATTTCGAATGGGTACACTTATTAATGGACAAATTATAATTGATAATATTGACATATCAACTATTGGATTAGATGATATTCGACGTCGAATTTCAATTATTCCACAAGATCCTGTTCTTTTTACTGGAACAATAAGAAGTAACCTCGATCGATTTGGTGATTATTCTGATGTTGAAATATGGCATGCACTTGAACAAGTTAGTCATTATTGATAAGTCTTTCCATAATTGTTTTCATCTGTTGATTAATTTAGGTACAACTTAAGAAATTAGTTAGTGATGTTATGTCTAATGGTCTTCATTCATTAGTTAGTGAAAGTGGTTCAAATTTAAGTGTTGGACAAAAACAATTAGTATGTTTAGCAAGAGCTATATTAAAAAAGAGTAAAATACTTGTAATTGATGAAGCAACAGCTAATGTTGATAATGCGTAAGTAAAAGAAGATTAAAAAAAGGTGTCTTATTAAATATATATATATATAAATCTTATAATTTAGAACGGATGAATTAATTCAACGAGCTATTCGTGAACAATTTAAGAAATGTACAGTATTAACAATAGCTCATCGATTGCGTACAGTAATTGATAGTGATCGTATTATGGTATGAAAGATTGATATTACTTTTCTAATGTATATATTGAATTGTTGTTGTAGGTGCTTAGTCATGGAGAATTATTAGAATTTGATTCACCTTATGTATTATTATCTAATTGTGGATCTGAGTTTGCATCACTGGTAGATCAAACAGGTGCAGCTGAAGCTGAACATCTTCGAATGTTAGCAAGTATTGCTTCATCAAAAGTCAAATATAATGATAGGAATCTCAACAACGATACTGATTTACCATCAGAAGGGGAAGAAAATGATCTTTTGCTTTGATAAAAGAAATCTCTGTGATGTCAAAAATAATTCAATTGATAATAGATTTATTTATTTATTTTTTGCATTTAAAATATGTAATTTAAATAAACATGCATTTATATTTTACATATAAAATTAAGAATCAGGATTTCATTTGAAAGATTCCAGAATACGATAATCTAGATATTGATAAAGAAACTTACGTCAGGATTGATTGGGTGTGGGTTACAAGTTAAGTATTATGATCACAGTTGATTATTAGTATTTACCATAGATGAATAGGATGAATGTGGGTTGACTTATTTTCTTCATCTACACGCACACCCTAACCAAATAATTGTAGTTGAAACTGAACATTTTCGAATATTGACAAGTAATCAAATGCTCAAAAAATTGACGAGAATAACGTCGATGATTCTTTTTTTTTTTTTTTTTGATATATAGATGTTTATTGTGCCATTTAAGTATTGGTTCACAGTGAAGAAAGGATTATAGAGAAGTCTTACAATGTTGTATGACATAACACTTTAAATACACAATCATTTCGTTTAATTACATATAAGAGCTAGAAAATTAGAAGAAGAAGGGTAGTGAAGTATAACATATGACATGGAAATACAGTACATGAGAACAACATAGAGAAGAATATGACATGGAAATACAGATACACGAGAACGACAGAGAAGAGAATATGAGGTGAGATAAAACAGATTACACAGGAAAGAGTTAATTATACTTTTAGTTTACAATTTTTATAGTTATCTAATAAAGTATTTTAATACAAATGCATTCATCATATTTGAAGAGGTTTTGTAATAGTCATATTGCTTGATATGGACATTATCAAATTCTATCCAGTCTATCATACAGTGCTTTACTTGTTTTATAAGTCTGCGGGGGAATATACTGTTCTTTCGAAATCCCATTGACTTGAGCCATTTATTATCATCAGAAGTGATCATCAAGTATGCATTCCATCCCTGTTGGAAAGCTAGTGCTTCAGAAGAATTTAGTAGATGTAATGCAAATCTGCGCCAGTAAACAAATAAATAATCACGAATAGATTTCTCTCTAGCAATCACTAAAGTAGTTAAATCATCCCATTGGTGTAATTTATAAACAAGACGAATACCCGAGCAGTAGCTATGTTCAAGACGTTCCTTCTGTTTTTCAGTGAAGAAGAACCAAGTAGAGAAAAGCCATAAATAATGTGGAAGGGCAAATGCTAGAAAGATTTTTCTACGGGCTCTAAGATCTTCTATCACCCCGGATCTAAAAATGCTTTTCATTGCACAATATATTTTGTTTATAGTACGTATTCTTTCATTTATATAATTATCCCAACCTATTTTAGTTGATATATATATGCCTAAATATTTAAATCTTTTTACAAATTCAATGCTTTGAGATTTATAGTAAATTTTAGGGTATGAGGGGGATACTATACTATGGATCAGTAATGCCTTGGTTTTTGACACATTAACAGGTAGTATGAGGTCATCAGAGAATTTCTCCAGTTGTTTTAGTACAATAGCTGCTCTCAGTTCAAGCTCTCTGATATTTTCAGAGAACTTTTTTTCCAAGTCGCCAGTTAGTATAATAGCTAAATCATCAGCAAATAGGTGGATCATCAGATTGTTGAAGTATGCTGGAAGAAAGTGAATGTGCAACCTAAATAGTGTTGCAGCCAGGACTGATCCTTGTGGTGCTCCTTTCTTCATTTGTACTACCCTAGACTTAGTTTCCCCAAAGTGGATACTAAAGGTTCTATTATTTAACCAATTGCATAACCATTTGAGTATAGGTAAAGGCATATTTAGATCATGTAGATTTGTTATAAGGAAGGGTATCCACATATTATCAAATGCAGATAAGAAGTCAACAAAAATTGCTAGGGCTGGTCTGTTGTTTGCCGCAATAGTAAGTCTCAGTTCTTCTATAAGTGATACCACTCTAGTTTCTAATCTCCTTCCAGAAGAAAAACCAGATTGCTCGTCGACATATATATTATTATTTTTACACCATAAGATAATACGATTATGAATAATTCTTTCAAAGACTTTCCCTAAGTTGGGAAGTAATGATATTGGCCGTAGACGATCCGGGGTAGGATAAATTCCCTCTTTGGGAATGCAAACTATTTTTGCGTGTTTTGCAGCTGAAAAAAAGTCGCCTCTCGTCGACAATTTATTAAAAAGAACAGTTATTATATTTACGTATATCTCGGGCATTCTTTTTAATAAGTAGGCTGATGTATTTGTATTATCAGTTGATTTTTTGGGGGAGATTTTCTTCCATTCATTAATTACTTCGTTCAGTGTTATGCCCTCTAGTGGCATGTTGGGAATGCGGGCGATGCTTTCATACGTGGAAATACACCTCTGGTGTACGATATTGTTCATATTAGGGATCGGTTCAGCGAAGTGTTTTTCATAATGATCTGCTAGTATATCAACTATTTTCCTCGGATCTTTCATTTTTTCAGAGTTTACGCTAAGGCCTCGGAAAGGAGGTGTATGTGAATGAAAGGAATTACGGGCAAATTTCCATATGTTCTGATTTTTCAAGATCCATTCCTTTTTTTCTTCATATCTCTGATTTATTACCTTGGAGCGCTCTTCCCGAAATAATACTTTTAAGCTCAAGAAATTATCTAGATTTGTTTTCGTTTTATTACGACGATAGCGACGTCTACTTTTATTCATTTCTCTAGCTAGAGTCACTAAATATAGAGGCCAGGGGGGTCGGTATTTTTTAACAGGTTTATATTTACTACTTCTATCCCAGAGGCTTACTAGAAACGAAGAGAAATGATTAAAGAAAAATTGTTCATCATAATTGTAGACTAGTGTTAGCCAATATTCGTATACTGTTTGTAGAAAGAAGTTGAAGATATTCCAATTTGTTACTCTAAATACGTTTGAATGTGATACGCATAGGGGAGATTGTATAAGAATTGGAAAATGGTCCGATGTACCTTCATCAATTACTTCAGTGAACCAACCTGCAGCATCATGAGTTACACAAAAGTCAATAATAGCATTAGATCTACGTGATGTAGGTTTATCAGGAGCAATCATATCATATCCTGTCTGCTCAAGCCATTCAACAACGTAACTTCCACTTGCGTTATTCATCTCACATCCCCATTCTGAATGTTTGGCGTTAAAGTCACCAAAAATAAAGAAGGGTTTGTTTCGACATTGATTGAATAAATGGAAGGGGGGGGGGGGATCGAGCCGGGTGGGACATAAACTGCTCCAATAAGTGTCGATAGAGGTTGAGTTTCAATTTCAATCAATAGAAAATTTAAATCTCTAGAAACTTCCTTAAATTTAATAGATTGGTGTATTAATAAGGCCACACCACCAAAGGAATTTGTTCCTTCCTGTACTACTACTTGGTAATTGGGAAAATGAAAATTTTTCCTTAATGCTGTTTTACCTATTTCAGTAAGTACACATATTTGGGGGGAGTAATTGGCTATGATAATGTCCATATCAGCAATATGACTATTAAGGGAATTTACATTATATAATAAAAACAAAAGATTTAGATCGTTGACTTTAGGTTTTGTTTTGGACCAACTTTTGATTAAAAAAGACATACATGTTTTTGAGTTCCATTCTTGTATCATTTGTTTAACTTCATTTTTTTCTGTTTTTGTACCATTAAATGCATTAATAATCTCATCATTGATATACGGCGATGAATACCGAAATGTATTGTTAGTCATTGTTTATTATTAGATGTTGAGCAGCATCCATTATTCTCGTTGTAATATCTTCAATTAATGGAGTATAAGCAGAAAAAATTTTATTAATTGTTGCTTGACGTTCATCAAATGGAATTGTTGATAATTGTTCGATTATCTTGGTAAATTGTTGATCACCAGATTTAGTCATCATTAAGCATATTGCTTGATTTGAAATTCTAATCATATCTAAACATTCATTTAATGATGATTTAAGTACATACATCATTTCATTTTGACGAATAACGTCGATGATTCTGTACGAGATAATGGTGAATATGATATTCTTAATAGATAGATTTTTTTGTTCTATTAGACTTTAAAGTTTAAATAAATCGAGTTAAAGAATTTACATTCAATTTCATATAATGTTCATTTTTCCAAGTAAGGACAGGCTAGAAAGAAAATCTTTTTGAAACTATTATCGATATGTGGTTATATTCTAATACTTTTATAAACTATTTATTGATTTTATGTTTGATGTATTTATATTCTTAAGTTTACTGAACTCGGTTTTTAGTTAGCCTTTCTAATGCAATACATTATTATAGCCATATAAAACTTGTTTTTCATCATTATCATTGACTGAATAATTTTCAAAGATATAATCTAGAAGATTTTGTCAGCAAAGACGATGGAACATTTTGATTCCAGACTAAGTTCAACTTTTTTTTCTTTATAAGATCTTCATCTGGAAGTTAAAAGTGAGAGAAGACGAGTTTTTGAACACCATTTAGATGAGATACAGTTAGTGTCTTTTTTTTTATCGAACTCATATTTTACAACGTGTAGTAGCGACGCAGATCGGAAAACAATTCGCAACTTGCGTAAAAAAACCGTGCATTTGAAGAAACATACGAACGTTTATGTTCATCGAAATACGACTTTCGAAAGAACAGATTTTAATCTGTCTTACCGAAAAAAGTTTAATAGTTGGACAGAAATGTTTTGCAAAAAAGAAGATGTTGCATTATGCGCTTCTTCACTGTTGAACATACTTAATAGATATGTGATCTTAGTCACGGAAGGCAGCGAAAAATTTTGACGTTTGTATAAAAAAATGTGATATGCTACTCAAATCTATCAATCTGATGGAAGGAAAAAAGTGTTTAAGCCTATTCAAGCCTTGTGGCTCTACCGCCTGTGCCTCTATTGAACATCAGTTGATAAGAGATAAAATGCGTATTGATCTTGTAATAACGCCTTATTTTTGAGAAGAAAATGAAAATTAAACAGTAGTAGAAAATTTTTACATTAGATAAAGTCTATCTAAATCTTTATCTATTTAATCTAACGATGACTGATACTTATCTAAGACCGTCTATGTTTGTCAGAGTAATATTTTATTCTATTGACCTAATAAAATTTCTCAATAAAAAAAAAAATATATTTTTATTCATTCAAACATTTGTTAGAGAATATTAATGTTAAATGAAAACAAAAGATAGAAACCATTAAAGACATATGAAAAATAGATTTTTAAAAATCATACATGAAGAAGACAGATCAAAAAAAAATTCAATGAAAGCAAACTACATAATTAGTCATCAAACCATGAAGACAACCAACTAATAACACTACGTCGTCGACGACCTATAAAACAAAAAATAAATTTTTATACAATCAAAAACATATAAATAAAACTATACTTGTTGTACAACTTGGATAGAAACATGGTCGAGAACTAATTATATCACTATTAGGAGTACATGTTGTACAATTTCTAGCATATTGATCAATACAAAAACGTTGTCGAACATATGTACCAGTACCACATGTTACAGAACATCGACCATTAACCCATGTAGACCAAGTACAAACTAAATACATTTATAAAAGTCTAATTTCCATCTTCTTTTATACGAATACTTACTGATACACTCATCTGGATTACATGTTCGTATACTAGTTATGTTCGTATCACATTGATTTGCATCTGAACATAATTGTGGAACTGATGAACTTGATGAGGCTATATTATAACATGTTCGATTTAATGCTTGAGTACCATTGCCACATGTTCGTGAACATTCATTTGCTGGTACGTATGGGCCAAGTTGGCATACTAGAAAGAAAAAATTAATAAAAAATCAATTGTTTTTTACTTCTATAGTTATGCAAACCTTCACAAGGTGTTTTTTCACATATTTGTGTTTGAATATTAATTCCTCCACATGTATTACATAGTGCATTCGTATTTAAATTAAGACAAGATCGACTACGTGTCTGATAACCTCGACCACATGATACATTACATGATGACCATGTTGACCAACCAAAATATGCACAGCCTAAATGAAAAAAAAATACATTTTATTTTTAGTAAAATAAAATCAAGATATCTTACTTGAACAATTGTTAGATATTAATGTTGCTTGTGGAGAATCATCGGCAGTATTATTTGAATACATACATTGATATGTACGGCAATTACTTTCTTGCCAAACAGTTCTAACCTATGAATATATTTGACAAAAGAAATATATATATATAAATTAATTCGATTTTATTAGATATATATATATATATATATATATACAGCATATTTTTCATTAGTTGTTCCATAACAACCACAATCACACCATAATGAACATGAATTTGTTGCATCATTCCATGCATAAGGTGATCGACATAAGCATTTTGGTTGCCATACATCTGTTAAACACCATGTTGTATCAGCTGGATTTGAACAAAGTGAAGGACAAGGTGTTGGAGCTGTATTTGTGAATACTTCATTCGGTTGGCATACTAGTAACAAAAAGAAAAATAAGAAGAAGAATGAGCTTATCAACTAGAGAAAAAATAAGATTTTTACATGGACAATCGGATAATTCAGTACACGTCGTTACATTGAATGCTACGCTTATACAACCAGTACCACCTATGAGAAAAATGTTTTGTATTTATTCAGTAATATGATGCTGTTCTATATACCATATAATGGTGCTGGACTATCACAAACTCGAGTAGTATATTTTGTTGCATTTTTACCACAAGTAGCTGTACAAGCTGACCATGGTCTCCATGCACCCCATTGTCCATTGACTAAATGAAAAGAGAAAAGCTTAAAGAATTTTTTTTTCTCTATATTCAAAATAAACATACTTGAACAATTTTGTGCAGATGTACATGTTTCATAAAGTAATGAAGAACCAGGACATGAGACACCACCAAATGTTGGTATTATTTGTGTACAAGTACGTGTACGAACCGTCTATTGAATAAAAAAAAGATACATTTTAATTTGATGAATTTATTATTCGAAATATTATCTTACAAATCCGGTACCACATGTAGCTGAACAAGAACTTTGTGAACTCCATGTTGTCCATTGTCCATTAACTATCATATTACAAAGAAAAAATAACAATGCAAATAATTTATATAGATGAAAAAATTCAAACTTGGACACGTGACATTTGTATTGCATGAAATTGTTTGTGTCCCTGAACCATAACATGATTGTCCTCCATCAGATTGATTGATACAAAGACGTGTTCGTGTTTGTGTACCACTACTACATGAAGCAGTACAAGCAGAATAATTGCTCCAAGTTCCCCAAATACCATCCACAGGACAATTAATAGATGAATTACATGATTCTATTTCATAATTTAAGCCAATACAAGGTAAACCGGTTGTTGTACAATTTCGTGTCTAGCAAAAAAAAAAAGAAATATTGATCATTAATTTTCTTTTTATATAATAAATTATATTCACTCGTCGTCTGATACCAAATCCACCTGATAATAAAATACAAGCGATAATTTAAAGAATCTAAATACACAACAAAAATACATCCTTACATGTAGCTGCACATTCTGACCATGCATTCCAATTTTCCCACACACCAATTTCTATACGAGTTCAATAATTATCATTTTAGACTCATGTTTTTTTGCTTTCATGCAAAAAACTTACCAACAGCAGGATTAGAACCTAAAAAAATATATATATACATAGACATCTAATTACTTGCAAAATCTTTTTTTATTTTACATACCACATGTAGAATTACCACATGTACCATCAATTTCAACCGATGATCCAATACATGACAAACCACCATTGGATGGTACAGGATTAGAACAATTTCGATATCGATAACGGCGACCACCAGCACAAGTTGACGAACATGTTGACCATTCACCCCATGATGACCAACCACCATCTATTGGACATGTAAGTAATCCATAACATACTCTAGTTTCCATTGCATCACCCGTACATAATTGCCCACTTGAATAAGAAAATCAGGGAAAAAAGTGTTCGATAGAAATCTATTATCAGTTTAATAACTTTACCCATTAGAAGGTTCAGGATTATTACATGTTCGAAAACGATAACTACTACCAGCAGCACATGAAGCTGATGAACAAGCTGTCCAATTTGTCCAAGTTCCCCATCCACCAGCAACTAAAATATTTAACATTATTTCAAAATAATTATAAATAAGATAATTTACTAACTTGGACATGTTATATTTGTATTACATTGTTGAGCTTCTAATGGTGAACCAGAACATTGTTCACCTCCAGCTGTTACATTACAATTTCGTGTTCTAAATAGATTAGTTCAAATGATATTTACTTTATAAAATCTTAATAAAGTATAAAATTACCGAACTTGAAGACCAGTACCACAACTACCACTGCATGTACTCCAACTACTCCAGCTTCTCCAAACACCAACCGCTACAAACAAATAAATATATGCGAATAAAAAAAAAACCTATATTTTATTCTAAATAAAGTTATTCACATACCAGGACATGTAACATTGAGATTACATACTGCTGTTTCCAAAGCTTGTCCAATACATAATTCATTAAAATTATTTGTATTATTACAATATCGAATCTAAATAAATATTTAAATAAAATCTCAAAACTCTAGATTTATAATAATACAAACTCGAGTTCGAATACCAGGACCACATGTTGTACTACAAGGTGAATAACTTCCCCATGTTGACCAATTACCATTGACTGGACAAGCAACATTTGTACCACATGTCTGTATTCTTAAAGCATCACCTCTACATAATGATCCACCTTCTGAAGGAGTTGACGTATTACAAGCCCTTTTTATTATATAAAAAATATTAAAAAAATAATTTATATTTAATATCTTTAATTTTACCTTGTTTGATATTGAGTACCATTTCCACAGCTTACAGAACACGGTGACCAATTAGACCATTCACTCCAATTACCATTGACTAATATTAAAAAAGAAATTGTATTTATAACTTATCTATTTGAATAATACAAATGAAACTCACCCGAATCCCAAGGAGCTGGAGCTAAAAATAAAAATAACAAAAAAAAATAATATATTAATATTAAAATACAAATAGAATTACATACTAGCACAACTAACTCCTGAATCACATGTTTCAACTTGAACTGAATCACCAACACAATTAATCGAACCAATTGGAAGACATGTTCGATTACGTATACGAATACCATAACCACAGGAAACCTTTACATTATTTAATAAATATATATAAATGAATATTTAATAATTAATTCTTACTGAACAACTTGTAGCATTTACCCATGTACCCCATGTTCCCATAACTATGATAATTAAAAGAATTTCTTTTCATAGAAAAATTCGATGTTTTTTTTCATTACCTGGACATGTAAGAATAGATGCATTACATAGAATTGTATCAACTGCTGAACCAATACAATAAGTACCACCATATTGTGGTGTTGGATTTGAACAATTTCTAGCAAATGACATATTTATGTACTTTTGATTTTCTTTATTTGTTTTTACCTCTGTCGAATTCGATAACCAACTCCACATGTTGATGAACATGCTGATTGTGCCCAAGTTGACCATCCACCATCAACTATAATAATAATTAAATATTCTATTTATTGAAAATAGTTTTCTAAACAATTAACATACTTGGACAATTTCTATTTGATGAACATGCTCGTGTTTCTTTTGTATCACCGTAACATTGTGCTCCTATACAAAATATTTCAATTGAAAAATAGTTAATAAATCATATTCTATTACCTCCAAATGATGGCAGAGGATTATTACAATTACGTGTACGTACTTGTGTTCCATTATCACATCTAAAAATAATTTTATATTTGAAATACTTTTCAATTGAAATAATTTACGTTGCTGAACATGGTCCATAATTTGTAAAACTTGACCAACCACCATTGACTATATGATATAATAATGATTATATATATATATATATATATATGAATACATATTATTTAAAATACTTACTTGGACATGTTACATTGGTATTACATATTTGAGATTCAATTGTAGAACCAATACATGGATAACCACCATTATATTGTCCCGTACAATTACGATATCCTTTTAAAATTTTCATGCAATAATTTTTTTTTCATTCGTGTAAAACTTACTTGTTTGAGTTCCATTACCACATGTACCTGCACATGATGCCCAAGTCGTCCAAGTACTCCAAGTTCCATTAACTAACACACAAGAAAAAAATATAAACTAAATAATTCAATTCTATTCTTCATTTATAAAACTTACTAGGAGAACCTGTGATCACTATAAAATGAAAAGAAAATAATAATTATGGATATTTTATGAACGAAAAGAAAAAACAAAACCTACAGATAACACAAGCAATATCATCATTGCATGTTTGATATTGATAACTTGAACCGACACATGGAGCTCCATTGTAAGCTGGTGATGGATTTGTACAATTTCTGTATAGAAAACATATCTCTTTTTTTTATATGAGTAAAATCATTCGTTAGTGACGTGACTTTGTAAAATTAAAACACATGTATCTTACGATAATGAACTTTCCTATCACTAATTTTTATGTATTACATATATGTTAAGTTACTCTAGATACCGTAAAAAAAACCATGCCTAGAGACTTTTATTCAGAGAAGTTATCAGTAAAACACTAAGATTAGTGATGTGACACAAAAAAGGACCGTTGACTTTTACTTTATGCATGTTAGTTTAAAAAAATTCCAAATTGTGGCAATAGTTTTGAAAACTAAATAGTAAATATATTTTGTAGATAAATCCTGAGACCACAAAATTTCTATCCAAAGTATTTTCTAAGCATATTTAGATTGCTCAAAAAAATTGATTTACTTCTCGTTCGCAACGCGATGAAGTAAGAATTCGTCGAACTCTACACAGACTACGAATACACAAGCAAACAAGTGTTTTTATAATTGAATATGAGAAGTTCAAAAACAATTCTAAACGGTACAAATCCTTGTTCAGAATCTCTAGATGATGGCAAGACAAAAATATTTGTTTCGAAATTTCATAGGATCTCTAGAAAATCGGTTTTTCTAGAGAAAGAATGTTTTTGGAATTCGATCTTGCTGAATATTCCACTATAAATGCGGTTACGCCTTAGAGTCTATGCCAAAGTTTTCAGAATTTTTTTCATATGTTTAGAGAGATGTTCACTCTCATTCAGAAGAGTAACCTTTGCAAAAAATCAAAGTCCAATGAAAGATAGGTATGTCCTGTTTTATTTGAAATACCTTATATGAACAATATAATGAATCATACAATACCTTGTTCGTGTTTGTATACCACCTGAACAATTCAATGAACAATTTGACCAACCTGTCCAAGTAGTCCATCCACCGTCAACTAAATAGAATTAAAATTAAAAAGGAAGAAAAATAAAAAGACAACTAAAAAAAAAAATTCTTTTCTCAAAATTTACTTGGACATGATACATTTGTTAAACAATAAGCTGTTTCAAGCGGTGGACCAATACATAAATCTCCACCATATTGTGGTACTGGATTATTACATTCACGAATCTATTATATTAAAATTTCAAAATATTAATTATTCATTTTAATTCTAAATAACCTACTCGAGAATAAACACCAACACCACATGTAACACTACACGTTGTAAAATTACTCCAATCACTCCAACCACCATTAACTAAATATATACATAATAAATAATTATTTATAAAATTATCTATTCAATTTACTTGGACATGGTCGATTAAGATCACATGTTTCTTCTCGTCGTGTTGCACCCGCACACATTAGACCACCGCCAATTGGTGGTGTACAATTACGTGTATAGATTTGTGTACCATTACCACAAATACCAAAACACGATATAGTTAAACCTTTTAAATATGAAAATAGGCAAAAAAAAAATATCATAATACTTAAAATTAATTTATAATTTACTCCAATTTCCCCAGACTCCATCCACAGGACAATCAATACCAGTTGCACAATCTTGTATTTCAACTGCTGCTCCTTCACATTGTTGACCACCATTAGATGGAGAAGGATTTGCACAAATACGCTATATACAATTCAAATATTTATTTAATAGTTTTACGTTCGGATTTTTTTTACTCAACATACCGTACGTGATCTTTCACCATTTCCACATGTACCACTACATGCTGAAAAATTTGACCAAACTGACCAATTACCATTGATTGGACATGGTTGTGTAGAATTACAAGATGTAATATTAATAGGAGATCCAACACAATAACTACCACCATATCTTGGCAGTGGATTGGTGCACGATCTAATCAAAAAAAAAAGTTAAATCAACTAAAAACAATGAAACGCAAAACAAAACAAACAAACCTTGTTTGTATTTGTATACCCGATCCGCATGTACTAGAACATGAACCCCACTTTGACCATGCAGTATAACCTCCATTAGCTGATTATTAAATAAAATAAAACATATCGACTAACATTATATATAAATTAAATCTTACTTGCATTATATGGCAATCCTAAAAAAAGATCAAAAACAAAAAAAAAAATATTAAATGCAAAATAAAATGTAATTCTAACTCACTAGTACAACTAACATTTGTATCACATAATTGTGTATCAAGAGCAGAACCCAAGCAAACACCACCATTAGATGCACCAGTACAATTACGTGTTCCTACAAAAAAAAAGTATCATTAACTAAAATTGAATTTTTTTTTACAATAACATACGATATACTGTAGCTGTACCACATGTTGCCGGACATGAAGACCAACTTGACCAACTAGTCCAATTTCCGTCAACTTTTTAAAAAAAATATTTGTTTTTTTAAAATTCTTTTTCATAAAACATCATTTTTGACATACTTGGACAAACTACATTTGTATCACAAGTTGTTGTATTTATTGCTTCACCGACACAACCAAAACCAGCGCCAAGACATCTTCGAGTTTGATATTGATAACCAATACCACACGATACAGAACATGTACTCCAACTTGTCCAATTACTCCAATAACCAATAGCTAATTCAAATAAATTTAATTTTTTTTTTTTGTAAATTTAATTTATGTATACAAACCATCACATTGATAGGATTCATTATATCCTGAACAATTTTGAAATTGAAGTCCATAACCAATACATGATAATCCACCAGATGTTTGATTAACACAATTACGACGACTAGCTCTCAAACCAGGAGAACAAATTGATGAACATGCTGAATAAGTACTATATGCATTCCATGCTCCATTGACTAAAAATTAAACGAAAAGAAAAAACAAAGATCAATTAATTGAAAATTTATATATATATATATATATATATAAACATCATACTCGGACAAGCTCCAGCATAACAAGCTGTTACATTAATACTTGATCCATTACAGGAAGCAGAACCAGATGCACCAGATACTGCTCTTGTACAATTTCGATAAGCTGTACGTGTACCATTACCACAAGTCACACTACATCCACTCCATGTTGACCAATTTGACCATATATCCGAACCAGGACATGTAATATTAGTTGAACAATTAATTAATTGTACGCCTGAACCAGAACAATATAAACCACCATTTTGTGGTGTTGGATTTGTACAAGTACGATATCTAATATATTAATATAGAAGTAAAATTTTTTTTCTTTAAAAATTAAAATATTTAACCCACTGTGGTCGTGAACCATTACCACTAAAAAAAAATATTAAACATTCTACAAGAAATCAATTTAAAAAAAAACATACATACCAAGTTGCTGAACAAACAATTGGAGTAGGATTTTGCCAATCAGTCCAACCACCATTGACTATAGATTAATTAACAAAATATACATAGCAACAATGAGTAAAACAAATTTCATGAAATAAAACTCACCTGGTGTCGGTATCACACCTATAAAAATAAAACAAACAAATAAGATTATCTATACTTTTCAATATTTCACTTACTAGTATTACAAATAGAGCCAATGTTTTCAATAACACCACCAGAATTACATATATATGTAGTACAAGTTGCATTCCATACTTGACGTAACTAAAACAATAAAATCCGTTATAGTTGAGAAGAAAAAAATTCCGATATATTTATTATTACCGGATGATAACCAGTTGTAGAATCAAGGCAACCACAATTACATTCTCGTACACATTGTCCACCAATAGAATCACGAAAATAGCCCGCATCACATACACATCCAACGGATTGCACTGTACAAGTTGAATTACCCACACGATTTTGACAAGTAACACCACAATCTGTATAATTTCGTTCAATATGACTATTGATTGGACATAAATCTAGCAAAGACAAAAAGATATAGCTTTTATAATAAGTCAAAAAAAACAACGTGAACAAGTTACAAACCAGGACATGCTGGTAGTTCTGTGCAAGACTCAGATATAACATCACTACCATCGCATGTACCACATGATTGACCACCGGCTGTCAAACATTGACGTGTTCGTAATCGAAAACCAGTATTACATGATGCTGAACATGGGAATACAGTGAAATTTGTCCATGTACAATAAGGACATGGATCACGTATACAACCCATTGTTTGAACTTCAGTTGCCAGATACGATGTTTCCCAACAGCTATTGCAAGTATCTGTTGTATTTGATATACAATTTCTTGACTAAAACAAAATATAATATGACTACAAAAACAAAATTTTAAAATTAATAATTATTACTCGTGAATAACTACCATTGCCACTAAAAGACAAAAAAATAAAACAATCAATAGCTTAATTCTTATAGAAAAAAAAAAATTTAATTTCACATACCAAGTTACACTACAAGCCCAAGTAGACCATGTCGTCGGATAACAACTTTGGGAAAAGACTATTTCTATAAAAAAAAAAGGACAATATTAATAATAAATATTTCAGAAGATAATGTAATTGAAAGCAAAGTACCTGTTGACAAAGCAATCACAACCAATAATAGAGGAATTTTGAAATTCATTTGATTCAACAAAACTTTGAAATATTATTGTGCATGTAAAAATCTTAAGTTTAAGCTTGCTTTGATGTTTCCCTATTACAACAAGTGACTCGCTGTTTTTGCTGTTTGATTAAGTCTGTAGCGAGCGAGCACTTGAAAGCTGAGTCTAAAACATATCGTAAGAATTTTCAATCAACCTCATGCATTGACAACCTTGAAAAGAATTAGACGAACCAAAGTGAACGAGAAAAATTAAAGAGACGTAGGAGGTAAAAAAAAAAGAAATCAAGAAAACATATAAGAAAAATTTCTATTGATCATACAATGAATGAAAGAGAGACAAAATCGGAGAGAAAAAAAAAGAGACCGATCGGGCGTATCACTGTGAAACAATAAAAGTGTATATATAGCATTGTACGAGAGAAATCATGATCGAAGTGCAGAAATGAAACCATTTGAATGCAATGAGAATGAAATTAGAATAGAGTGAAACCAAATTGACTCTATATGCTACTCTCAATCACTTACATAATTACATATATGTAAACATTTCATTGATTATACTTTTCAATATTTTTTTTTCTTTTTTTCAAAAAGAAATGAAAGTTTACATTTCTAACAAAACTTGTTCTATAGAGAAAAGAAAAGGAAACGATTAATGTGTTGTACATCAAGTAAAAAATTTATTGACCAATGTTTCTTTTGAAAGGAATAAATAATTGCTTTAGTTTTTTCATTATAATGTTTTCTCGAGTTGTTTTAAAACACAAATAAAAAAGACGTTGTCATTTTTTTGTCTATAAATCAAATTTTAACTTCTCTTTTGTTGTCTATCAATATATATATATATATATATATAAACAGTCACTCTTGTTTTTTAAATTAGTTAAAGCACGTAGAAAAATATTCTTCATTATTGTCGACAACAAGTGAAACGGAATTTTTTTTCTTTTTATTTTGTACTTATACATCAACAAGTTGATCTTTACAAGTAACACATATTTTACAATCAATTATGCAACCATATCCATATGCCGGATATCCAAATGCAAACGGTGCAACAATGCCCGTTGGTTATATGACACCACGTAATTATCAACAAAATGTTCCACCATTAGTCAACCAATCATCTGATCGTCATGCTGGACAAGCATCAACACTTCGTCCTACTCAGTATGCATCACAACCAATACGTTATCCACCAAATGCGGTTCCACCTGGATATAGACCAGGATATCCTGCACCAGGTCTTCCACCACCGCCTATGAACACTATGATGCCTGGTATGCCTCCTAATCAAGCGTATTACTATGATCCTAATGGTTTGAATCCTCCAGTACCGCCTGGTACGAAAACACAGACAACTGCATCGAAAAAAGGTGCAACAGGACATACAAATAATCCATATACAATGGGACCAGATGGCACACAAAATGAAGCAATTAAAAGCCTTGTTTCTAATGGTAATATTAATGATTTATTAAATCATCAAGGTACAAAAGTGAAAGTATCGAAAATTTATCGAATTACAAAAACTAAACCTGACATTCGTAAAGATGATTCAAGTGATGATGATTTGAAAAAAGTATCACTTGAATCAGCTCGATCAGTAACAAATAAACCGCGACCACCAGTACCAGCTCAACGAGCACCATCAGCTGCCTCTAGTTGTAGTCATTGTTCAACATGTAGTAATTGTTCTTGCTCAGAATGTCGTAATCAAGGGCAAGGAAATTTTTATGATGATTGTCCTGAATGTCGTATGGAACGAGCACGTGAACAAGCACAACGACAAAATCGTAAATGACCATTTTATATCTTATTTACATAATACGGTATATTTTACAAACATGAAAATAAAATAAATATC